CGCCGCCGCGTTCTCTGCCGCCGGAGCCCTCGCCTCGGGAAGGGGCCGGCGCTTCCACGCCAACAGCGACAAGCTCGTCCGTAGTGAGGGTACCTGTCTTGTCGAAGAGGCACACATCCACCTTGCCCGCCATGGGCACGCGGTATGGCTCGGTACAGAAGATCTGCGGAGTGGGTGGGCGGGCGGTGGTGGCCATGCCGTTGGACTCTTTTTTTGCTCGGCAAACAAGGAAGGGCGTGATGAGGGTCATTACTAAGGCAATCTACTACTCCGAGTATAGAGTGTCAAGCATGTCAACTCGGGACTTTCCGTGTGCTGCAACGTTCAGTTCAGTTCTGAGTAACCCTATCCCTTGACCTGGACTGACTCATCCTCTCATCCTATAATAGTAAGTAACGGTAGGGCACACGACAGGACGAAGCGTTTATCCGCTGCAGAAAGTAGCTGGTCAGACGCAAGGCCACCGAAAAAACATTGTACTTTGTACATACGCGTATAACCACAACCGTACCTGCATTTTCATGAGAGCCATGAGGCTGGAATTGACAGCGAGAGCCATCTGCATTGGTAGCTCGGGCGGGATGACCGATGTGACGATCAATATGCAGTGGAGCAGCAGCTGGTACTTGGACCGCTTGGCCGAGTCCTTCATGCCTTCGATGAGGACGTAAGTCGAGGCGGATACCGCGAACACGAGGAGCAACAGGAGCAGGAGCACCGTGTCCCTGGTGTCTGTCCGAACCGTCTCCGTGCTGCCCTCGATCATGCGGACTAGCTTGCCCTACGACAATAAACCGACCATGACGAGATGAAGGAGCAACGGACACGGCAGGTTGCAAAATTCAGGCTTCGAGCATGACATTTCTTGAATGTGGGAAGTGGGGCGCAAGCCACAATTGGACCTACACAGCACCACACCAGGAAACGGCAGGGACGAACGTCTTGGATTCCGCAATCATTAAGGGTCAACGAGGACGTATTTTCTTGACGTATTCGAGATTCTTCAACCACGCCACCCGCTTCTTTGGACCGGCGTTACGGCAGGCAGTGGCACCGTGTAGCGGCGGTGGCAGTCAGCGCATGTCACACAACGGCGCAGATACCAGGTACAGCTTCGTAAGAATACACGGAATAGGGCGAAAGACGTTAGCCTTGCATCGCGCCCATCGTACCAACGCCCACAGAGGCACGCACCTGCGACGAGCTGAACCCTGTGCGTAAGACGTAGCAAAGGCATCCGCCATCCGGAGTTTCCTTCCACGACTCATCCCCAACATCAACACTCGATTCGTCCTCATCCTCATCCTCGCTCTCTTTTTCTTCAGCTCGTCCCTCTTGATCTTCGGTCTCCTCCATATCGTCTTCCTCTTCTTCACTACCCTCATCGCTATCGCCGCCCGCATCAACTGCTTCCTGGCCCTGTTGAGTAAGTCCGGAAATCAAAACGCGCTGCAGGTTCACACGACAGGATGCGGTTCGGAGCGCTAGGGCTGCCCAACAAGTGTCCTAGTGGCTGAATGGCAAGTCAAACGCATCGATGCAAGGTGAGAATACAAGTCCCCCGGGCGTGCACACGGACTTGTTCGTTTTGGAGCAACATATGCAAACGTACCGGCATCACGCATGCAGAAGAAGCCAACCCGGAGGTGAGAGCTTCTAGACTACCGTATGTATACGATAGGAGCGGGCGGTCACAATGAAGGTTCCTAAGTGCTAGAGGTAGCGCCGTAGAACGCCTGCTATCGGCACGTCTCTATCGCATCTGCAAGCACGGGACCTACAGCATACAGACTGCCACCTTTTGCAAACACCCAGCGGCAGTGTTTGGTATCAACAGGGAGAGGCCGACGCTTGACGTACCTGGCTATTGCAGGTGAGAAGCTTGGTGCCGCCGAAAAGCGTGAAGACTTTGTGGTGGCCTTCCTTCATCATGAAAATCTGGCACAACACAAATGTTTCATACATGTATGCATAGCAGCAGACACGACATCAAGGGTCAGCGTCACACTTGCTCGTTTGCTTGGGAGATTTCACAAGAACTTACGAAGGTTTCCACTATTGTTAGTGGCATCCTAATAACTCGCGCGGACGGACGCAACGGACGCCCGGGAAAGGAGAAAGACATTTTTTAACTGCGCCATTTTGGAGTTTTGCGTCAGACCAGGGAGAGGAGGAAAAATTAGAAATGGTGCTGTCTGTTTACACCCCCGCCCCCTGCTCGTGTGTCTTTGTGAAATGGATGGATGCCCGCTTGACCACTGACTCCACAGGAGAGGAAGGGCAAACACCCGTATGCCGTCCATCCCACCACCCTCGTCGTCCCCATGGACCAAAATACACCGTCAACACGGTCGCCATCGACACCACTCCGAAAGAGTGAACACCCCAAATTGGCAAGTGAGCTATTTAACAATGACAAAACAATAGAACGCACCTCGTCACCCCCGTCCTTGGAAGCCAGGACCCCTTCTTTCATCTGAGGCACACTCTCCCCTGTCAACGTCGCCTCGTTAAGAACGGCCGAACCGTGCACAAGCATACAGTCGCAGGGCACCGTGTCGTGCTTCTTGGAGCGCCTGAGCGAGAAAAGGTCTCCGGGAAGCAGCTCCTCTGTCGTAGAAGATTGCCACCTGGGACACGCGGGGCAGTGCAGCGGCCGGTCAAGCGCTGAAAAAAAAAGCAGCACAGGGTTCCATGCAGCACGCGGTTTGATGCCTTATAGCCTTTCTCCTGTGGGTCATGGTTCAATGGAATAAGCTCAGGTTGGTGCCAGAGCTAGCAACCGACAAAGGACAGTGTGGATCTCCCTGAACATGCTCCTGCGCTGCTGAACAGCAGCCTATTCGTAGAGATCCCTTCTTCGGAAATAATACAAGGCACCGTCATACCTACGGCGGTGGCGGTTTCTGAGAGGTTACTCGACGTTGTAAGCTACCGCGCGGGGCCAACTGTTGGCTCCAGGCGAAATATGTAGCGTTGATCGAGAACCAGCACAGCAAAGGACACGATCAAGGTTAACCTTCACCTGCCAGCTCGGAAGACTTTTAGGTTGACAACATCGTTTCCCATCCCCTTGAGCGTCTGCAAGTTCTTGAGCCTCTGCATCACCACTGTGGCCTCGAAAGACGCGATCATGAACAGGGTGAACAGGAAGTATTGCCAGTAGCTGTCCAGCAGCCACAGCGCCGTGGAAAACAGCTGGTCCGCGGCGGGGGCAGGGGGGAGGGAGGAGAAACACCGCGTTTAGGCCATACCACATGCTGAACACACGAGCGTGCAGAAGGGAAGCCACCATCAACAGACAGCCCCGAACGGGTATGGAAAGCCTGTTGTTGCCACCGACAACACCGGCATGAATAACCCGTGCACAGCTGAAGGTACACCCTGGCATTTTATTCTCTAATGATACGCAAAGGTGCTCCAACACAGGGACCGTTGGTATGCTTCCTCAACAGAACACCACCACTTGTACAATGATACTCTTGCATGTCAGCATACATACCTGGAATATCGTGAAGGGCGACAGCAGCTGCGCCTTGTAAAGATCCAAGAACTTGGGCATCTCCATCTCGAAGCGGTTTGTCCCGTACATGAGGCGGGCGCTCTCCACCGCGGCTTCGGTCGGCAGCCCTCTCCACCTCCGGTAAAAGCTCAGAGGCCTGTCCACGCGACAGCGGATCTTCACGAAGGCCTGGGAGCGCTGGTCGTACACATACTTGCGGCGGTGGAACTCGAACGCGGGGCCGAGGGGAGAAGTCTCGACAGGCACCAGCAGCGTTTTCCCGTTTCCGCAATGCGGTTTCGGCCTGGCCATTGCGTGCGTTGCCTGTGTCGGGTCGTCTCGAACGGGACGGAAGCGGACCAGGCAACGGAACGCCACGGACCAGTGCTGCAAGAGAACCATGAGAAGGTGGAGGATGAACACGACGGCAAGCCAGAGGACGGGCCAAAAGCCCGGGAGATATTTCCACGGCAGGTGGACCTCTTTTACGCCGCTGGTGGCCTCCTCGGCGTCATGCCCAGACAGTAACGCTGTCAACGCAGAGCGGTGGCTATCCTCGGAGTTGGGCAGGGCCCATCCCTCCTCCTCAGCCTGGGCGAGAGCGTCGTTGTACTGCTCACCTATAGTCAGAAAGCACTGCAGCAGAAGAGAGAGAGGCAAGCAGCAACGGTGGCTAAGATCGCTGCAGAGAGAACGACAGAACCGATCAATAGCACACGAGACCAGGCACTCTACTGCTGCTGTATATAGACCTGCATTCTAGGTACAGGTCTAGTCTGCAGCAGACGGCCTGGCCTGTACCGATGAAGCGGATGGATTGCTGTATTGTTGTGTTGGCGTATGCACACAGGAGGACAGACACAGCCGACCCGGGCGAGAGAGGGAGGTGTGCTTTGCGATACAGGCTAAACGCAAAAAGTCAGCGACAAAAGGGAGACCCCAACAGACAATAATGCTACAGAACAGAAAACTGCTGCTGTGCGGCGGGACGCGGAGCATCACTTCTCCTGCCTCCTTCCTCATCATTCACACCTTCTGCAGAGCCCACGCGTAGGCGACGAAGAAGGGGTAGTTCTCTCGCGAAAGCAGTCCTCGAGTAGGCAGCCATCCGTCGCTGCCGATCTGCCGGTGTAAGGACAGCGCCTGGATGCGGCTCCCTGTCCATGCCACCATGGTAGGACCACGTCAATCTCGACAAACCCTGCCAGTGTGCTGTAGGTCGGGAGGAAGTTGTACGGTCTGCGTGCCAATGCTGCAGTCGGCCGGCCGTCCAGGGGAGAATGCATACTCTCTTGCGAGGTCTCGTTGAAACCTCGGAGGCGTCGGGGACGCGGGCGGGGTCGAAACGTTTTTTTTTTTTCGAATCATGTGCACTTCCAAGAGTAGCTCGTCGGGTGATGCTGATGTGGTGTGATCAAACCCGAGCCCACGTCCTGCTCTTGTTGGACCCTCCATCCGCGGCCTTGAATTAGGCTTGGGTGAAGGCTCGTGTTCCGTAATGCCACGAGGGGAAGATCGGGAGCTGGTCGTCGCACCAGCCGACCACGGAGGCTGCGGCAACGTCGCTGATGCAACTGCCGCCTCCGCCACATCAGCATCAGCAGCAGCAGCAGCCGCAGCCGCCGCCGCCGCCGCAGCAGCAGTACGACCACCCTTTCCGCCGGGCTCATCTTCAAGAAACGATGAATTACATTCGGTGGGAGCTATTTTCGGCCAACAACGAGACAGGAGGAGCTCCTCCGAGACACTTTGCGGTTCCTTGTTCCCGTCGAGTCGAGTTGTTCATGATGATGGGGTTTTGCACGAAAGGTTACCAGCTGTGAGGCAGCAAGACATCCCAGACGTCCTGAAACGCATGTCAGAGATGCAAGTTTTCGAAGGCAGCGCCAGCGGGACAGGAGGAGACGCAAACGGAACGTTGGGCAAAGGTGTCCCATCTCTGCCGCGCGAACCGGATAACTCGGCCGTAGTGTTCGATGTTGACGCTCTTCGAGCCGCCTTCGCCGCAGCGAAACAGGCCTTCCCTCCCCACTGGATCCACTGCGTGGCCGTCAAGAGCTGCCCGCTGTCGGTCGTTGTTCAGGAGGCGGTACGAGCTGGTTTAGGAATCGAGGCTGCATCTTTTGTTGAGCTGTACATGGGCCTTGCTCTTGGCTGCCCCTCAGATCTTGCCGCGTTTGACTCGCCGGCCAAGACCGATGGGGAGCTGGAAATGGCTTTGGCGCGAGGGGTCCTGATAAACGCTAACAGCCTGGTAGAACTAGATCGGATTGATGCCATCATCAAGAGGGAGGGCTGTCCTACTTCCGCGCGTGTCGGTATCAGACTGAATCCTCTTGTAGGAGCTGGCTCTATCGCCGAGCTAAGCGTGTCCACCTCAACCAGCAAGTTCGCAGTGCCTATGACTCCCGCGAACGTCCTAGCGGTGGTGGATGCCTTCCGCAAGTGGCCTTGGCTCGTTGCTCTGCATACTCACGTCGGCTCCCAAGGGTACTCGGTCGAACAGTTGGCCGAGGGTATCGCAGTTCTTTGCGAAATTGCGGACGTCATCGATGGCAAGTTGGGGAAGGGGAGAGTCACTTTGCTGGACATTGGCGGGGGCCTGCCGGCAAACTACGACTCGGATGAGGTTTCACCTACCTTCCACGAGTACGCTGCGGCTCTGAAAAAGGCCGCACCCTCCCTCTTTCACAACACAGAGCGCATCGTCGTGACGGAGTTTGGCAGAGCATTTGTGGCCAAGGTTGCAATGACGGTGAGCAAGGTGGAATACGTCCGATCAAGCGATCACTCGGGAGCCGAGGGAGGTGCCGCCGGTAAAACAACTCAGCAGGCAGAGGACCCATCGAACGTCGTTCGTAGCCCAGGCGAGGTACCGGAGTCGTCTTTGCCTGTCGAGGACTACCAAACATTGGTGACGCATATTGGAGCTGACCTATTCCTGCGCACCAGTTACTGCCCCGGAAGGTACTCCCACCGCTTGTCGATGTACTCCAGGAACGGGGCCGCATTGGGCGGGTCTGCGATCAAAACAGATGTGGCGGGCCCGTTGTGCTTCCAGGGAGACTACGTGGCGCGCGGCGCGAGCCTTCCTCGGGCTTCGCCAGGGGATTTAGTTGTCGTCCACGATACAGGGGCGAACACGCTATCGCTGTTCAGTCGGCACTGCTCGCGGCGTTTCCCTTCGGTGTACGGGTACACGAGGAATGCCGACGGTACCGTATGTGTTCGGCTGGTGAAGGAAAAGGAGAGCGTCCAAGACGTCGCACGCTTCTGGGGTGCTTGGTGAGACACTGTAAACGAGTACGGTAGAAGTGGGCGCACCCATTCCATCGATGATGGAGTCTTAAGGTTAGCAACGTGATCTGTGTCATGCAGTTTGTTTGCAGCATTTCGAAGCTCTGGCTTCAGTCTCATCCGGGAGATATCCGGGGAACTCTCATTCCGATCCTCCCAGCCTCAGCCTACTGGGCCTCAAATGCCGGGCTCGAACCTGTGACGCAAAACCTCCATGCTTCTCAAACATAGCGCAGTAAGCAAGAACAATTCGTGCAAATCCCATCTACTTTCATTGCTCCAATTTCTTCCTAATCTACGACGTTGCCCCTCTAGTTGAAAAAGCCGTGATCAAGGGCGGTTGTTTGTTTGAATAAGGGCATGAGTGATCGCATCCTTCCCAGGCCGACTTTCACAGCTCAATTTCTCCGTAACCAAGAGGTTTCCAGTGCTGTGACAGGTAGACTGGAATGGTCTTGCCCCGAGCTTCATTGCGCGTATTGGTCGGTTCCAAACCCTCTAGTTGTAGAGCAATCGACCTTTGAACGTCGGGCTAGACTAGAGGACTAGAGGACATGCGATCGCCTGCATCCTCGAGGTATTCATGAAGAGCACTTGCCCCTCTCTCGGGGCTCAGCTGGGTCCGTGGAAAGGTATGATGGGAAGCGTCTTTGACAAGAGTGTTTGCTCTAACATCCTCCTCGCGGCGGTCTCGGTCCTCACTAAAGATAGGGTACGCGGAGGGGTTTCCCAAAAGCATCATTGCAAAAAGCCTATACCCTACGAATGAACACCGAAAGAGCAAAAAAAGCGTTTCTTGGTGGGGTGGAAGTTCAAGCGTCATGTCGTCCGTTTAGACACATACTCATTCCACGCCTTTGACGATCCTACACCCTACAGCGATGGACCTACGGCCACCAACTAACCTTCGCATTTGGCAAAGCTGAGCAAGATCTTCCGCTCCATGCGCAAAGTAGCATTTTCTCGTCACAACGTCTGCTACTGTACCTCGTGTGCGTGACTATCAGGGGTCCCGGAGCGCGCTACACGCCTGTACCAACATATCCAAAGGACAGCGCTTATTGTAGACTTTTTCCGGAGAAAAGTATAAGACGTACCGTAAGTTGCATCTACTCGGGAATCGATGCCCGCTTACCGCCTCTCCGTAAGAGGATGGTCGTCTGATTCACATCTTTTCCCGCACTCTGTTGTACGTTGAACTGCGTGACACGACTCTGTGATACTGAACTATTTTTCTGGTAAGTTTGTTGTTGGAAGTCCCCAATCTCAAAGCCCGATGATGTACATACTTGATGATGCAGCGTGTGATCGAGAAGGCACTCCATGGGCCAGACAAATAAGCATGCCGAGGAATGAGGCAACGCGAACGCTTCCATTGGCCAAGCAACGGCGGACCGATGGAGTGAGGAGACGGATGTGCGATTTCCAGCCGGTGAAGGACCTGCTTCCTCCCAAGCCTTTCAAGGGTGGTGTGTCGAGGGACAGTTGAGGTTTCCCTCCTTTTCGGAATACCCGTGTCTTTTGGATGTGTAATTCTTGCTCGAGTTTTTAGAGATTAGCGGTTTCCATGGTGTCTGTCTGCATAGATTTATAGACGTGAGCGGCCCTACGCGATGGGCGATTGGTTTCTGCTGTCAGCTGCCATGAGCACACACAATTCGAGGTGAGTTGTGAGGTGTTCGCTCGTCACACCTGCATCTGTCTGTACAGATGCAATGACCGTTGACAGATCGCAAGGACGCCGGCGTTGACGTCAAAGACAAGAGCGCCCTAGTTAGAGCTACGCACCCGCCCCCCCGCCGCAGTGTGTGCATGCGCGGACACGATGTTGGCAGCGGTGTGTCGCGTTCAGCTAAAATGATAATAATGCCGACTTCCACCTCTTCGTCCGCAGAAGTGCACGGTAGCGAATGTGGGAAATGCAGTAGCAGGCCTCACGAACTTTGGGCTGCAAGACAGGATGTAATGCGGTGCTGTGCTTTTAAACCTAATACTACAAGACACAGGAATAGTGGAACTACTGCTGTACATTTTAGCTTTCACGTGGAATTCCCCTTGCCGGAACGTTTGTTGCATTGACTAACGGAATATGGCTTTTCTGTCGAACACGAAGAAAATTCAATCGACTGAGTAGTAACAACCTCGACCGAGGCTCAACAGCTTCAACATGGAGTGCCTTGAGGGAACGAGGGGCCCGGCAATCGTCTGGAATGTTTTATCTTTGCTGGTGAAATCTTCCATGGAAGTGGTGAGAGCTTCCACAGAAAAGCTTCACATCTTTTCCGTGGAAGTTTAAAGGAAAGTACTTCAAGGAGGCTGGATGGAAGCGTTCGTGAAGCTTATTTTTCTTCCGTCCATGGAAGCTGCCACAACTGCCCTATGGGAAACGTTCGCCTTGTCCTGTACAAACACCTTTTAGCTGGTGTCGTGCAATTAGTCAACCCTAGGTTAGGTCAGGGTAAGAGGACTTGGGGTAGGTTAATCGCAGTAGTTTATGTGTTGAGGCGTGATAGAATGGACTTGAAAATGATGGCTCTGGGAGCAGGGTTGGAGTTAGGTCTGGTTGAAATAACGTCAAATAAGGTCATGAAAAGTGCATGAGTTGGAGACTAGAACTGAGGAGGTGTGGGTTTATGGTTGGAATGATGGAGGGTAATCCAACCGCTTCAACTCATCCAAATCTACCTCTACATTTTTCGGGGTATCACCCTTCTCCATCCTCTTTGGATCAGTATGCCATTCAATGGCCTTAATTGCTAATCGCGCCGTATCGTCTTCCTCCTGAATATCCGCCCAATCACTAGCCGTCTTACCACATGAATTATCCCCAAATTCAATTGCCGCTTGCGTCTGTTCTTCATCATACTCTTGCAACGAAATTTGAGGCAACGGGGGTGCTGCTGGACCTCTGCCCCCGGAACCCCTTCCCTAAACACCACTAGCAACCCCTGTTGCTCGAGCCGCACCACCTCGACCCCTTCCACGCGCAACAGCCCTGCTACTATGTGCATTACTGCCACCCCCGCCACCAGCAACAGCCCCACTTCCACGAGCGTTACTGCTACTACCACCACCAGAGGCACTGCCCCTTCCTTGAGAAATAGCATACACTCGCGGTTTTCCACCAATCGTAACAAGCGTCTGCCAATTTCCGTTAAAGGAACAGCATGTAATATCGNCTCGAGCCGCACCACCTCGACCCCTTCCACGCGCAACAGCCCTGCTACTATGTGCATTACTGCCACCCCCGCCACCAGCAACAGCCCCACTTCCACGAGCGTTACTGCTACTACCACCACCAGAGGCACTGCCCCTTCCTTGAGAAATAGCATACACTCGCGGTTTTCCACCAATCGTAACAAGCGTCTGCCAATTTCCGTTAAAGGAACAGCATGTAATATCGGCCCTGGCTCAAACTGACCACTGACTACTTCCCCACTTGGTTCCACCAACCTGGTGTCATCAGGAACACACGCACCATCAGGCAAAGGGTCGGACACGCCCTTTTACCTTTGGATCAGCGCGAACGTCTTGTCTGCCACTTCATCCGTAGTGAGGCTTGCCGATGTACAGCCACTTTCCCCCACCACAAAATCATCGCGATGGTTCGACCCAGCGAGCGCCTCTCGCTCGGTAATCACCGGACCCGATCGCGAAGGTAGCACCCCGCTCGCACCTATCATATAAACATCGAGATCAGGCGGATCAGTTAGCCTGACATANCACCACAAAATCATCGCGATGGTTCGACCCAGCGAGCGCCTCTCGCTCGGTAATCACCGGACCCGATCGCGAAGGTAGCACCCCGCTCGCACCTATCATATAAACATCGAGATCAGGCGGATCAGTTAGCCTGACATATGGTGCCTCATCCTCTTTCGTCGCAGGCAATGGCAACCGTGACATCAAATCGGCATTTGCATTCTCTCGCCCTGGTCGATACTTCAGTTCATGCGTGTACGCTGACAGGAAGTCATACCACCTCTGTACGCGATTATTTTTATCTGCCCAACTCCCCAAATTCCGCAAGGGTTGATGATCACTATACACTTCAAAGGGGGTGCCATAAAACAGTGTTCGATTCTTCTTTGTCGCACCCGCTTCAAGCTCAGTCGAACTCCATCTCGTTACATTCTCGAATGTTGATCTGCTCAAAAAGCATAGCGGTCTAATACTTCCATCTCGTTGCCCTTGCTCAATTACGGCTCCCAAGCCCGAAATCGACGCATCAGCGGTTAACCGAAACGGCCGTTCTCCCGAGATCGCACCCTCATAACACGGAGATGCCAAAACTTCAGGGCCAGACAGAATATCCATCATCTTCCTCACTACTGCCACATGATCAGCCGTGAACACAAACGCCCCCCTTTTCAGCATCGCATTGATCGGTTTCAATTTTGCCGACATGTTCTTCAGGACCTTTCGATAGTACGGCAAGGACCCCAACAACGATCGCAACTGGCCAACATTAGTGGGCCTTGGCACTTCATGCAGCGGTCTGACCTTTTCCGGGTCCGGCCTGATCTCTTCTGCCGTGACTTGATGTCCCAAGAACGTCACCACCTTCACCCCCAGGTTCGTCTTCTTGGGTGCCAGTTTCAGGTTGAACTTGACCATGCGCTCGAAAAACCTCTCCAGGTCGCGCACGTGTTCTGCCCCGTCCCTGGAAAAAACGATCACGTCATCGAGGAACAGACGCACACGTTCCAGTCCGTCACATACTCTGGCCATCACCGAGTGAAACCACCCAGGACAACTACTGAGACCTTGCGGCACGGAAAAAAAAACGTACAACCCCGTAGACGTGATAACAGCAGTGATCGGAATGCTGTCCTTTTCAATACTGCACTGGAAAACCCCCCTGACCAAATCCAGCGTGTTGAAGATTTTCAATTTGTCCAATTCCGCCAAAATATCCTCCACTATCGGAATGGGCAATTTCGGGATTACACTCATTTTGTTGCTGCGCTTGTAGTTGACCACCGTACGCCACCGTAAGCCTTCGCGACTACCACCAGCGGACTCGCCCAATTGCTGTACGATCTCCGCAACACACCCGCCAACAGCAATTTGTCAATTTCGATCTGCACCTTTTCGTTCATAACCGGCGAATAGCGATATGGCCTCTGGCGCACTGGCTGTGCCCCCGGCTTCAAAATGATTCGAAATGGATCCACCGCCACTCGTCCTAAATCTGAACCACCCTTCGAAAAAGGATGCTCAAACTTGCACAGTAAATCACCTAGTTTGTCAATGTCCTCCGGCTCCCACAGTTTCGCAGTGAAGTCGAAATGGACGTCTCGAATGTGCGGAGGCACTCTCTGCCACAATCGCCTGAACGCCACCTGTTGCGCCCCATTCAAAGAAGACATAACATCAGCGGGAGATTCGTCGTTAGGCATGTCAGCCTCTTCACCCTCCTGAACCGCAAATACATTTTTTGGATTCCTCATTTTCCACCAAACGAGCATCATCCAAATTTACCACCTCCAGGGGTTCACCACGATACCCCAAAATATCGTTTGGTTTCACCAGACACGAGCTATCCCCCACTCGTCTTAGAGGAATTTCAGTCGTGCCATTCTCGACTAACGCTTCCTGCGGGAACCACTTCTTCCCAAACTGCACACGGTACTTCCCCACCGCAGCGTCACTGCCATCTAGGTTGGTCAATTTTACCTCCACCCAGGACATTGCGTTTGGAAGCCATCGTCTACTACCATTCGATTTCACCACCACCTTTCCATCACCTTCAGTTTCCACCATACCCACCGCGTTACCTACCCATTCATCAAAGCGGTGATCTCGTGCCAACTTATCAGTATTTGCACCGACAAAAGCGACAATTGTTTCTGTGTCCGACACGTGCTGGAATCTGCGAACTGGAAAATCAGCCCAGCTATCCCTCCCTAATATCAGATCATGTCCCATGGCCGAGTCTGGCACAATGTACGCATACACACTCCTCCGTACCGTCGGTGTACCGAAATGAACCGGCGCTGATTTCCTGCCATTCCACATTTCAATACTTAATCGCATTCTTCGATCTGTAAGCATTGGCACCCCATGGAACCCATCCCATTTCTTGTTCAGCCCCGTTTCAATGCTATCAGTTGAAGCTGAACCACATGCCAACATCTTTTGAGCACACCTTTCTTGTACAAACGATGCCGGACTTGCCGTATCCAACAGCCTCCCACGACATCATCTTGGCCGCTCTTGACCCCGTGAACACTTGCACTCTAGTCGTATGCCGATGTCGATCCATCGTCAAATCCCCACCGACCTACCANTCAGATCATGTCCCATGGCCGAGTCTGGCACAATGTACGCATACACACTCCTCCGTACCGTCGGTGTACCGAAATGAACCGGCGCTGATTTCCTGCCATTCCACATTTCAATACTTAATCGCATTCTTCGATCTGTAAGCATTGGCACCCCATGGAACCCATCCCATTTCTTGTTCAGCCCCGTTTCAATGCTATCAGTTGAAGCTGAACCACATGCCAACATCTTTTGAGCACACCTTTCTTGTACAAACGATGCCGGACTTGCCGTATCCAACAGCCTCCCACGACATCATCTTGGCCGCTCTTGACCCCGTGAACACTTGCACTCTAGTCGTATGCCGATGTCGATCCATCGTCAAATCCCCACCGACCTACCAAGTAAATGGTGACAGGTAGTCCGCCGCTTCACCTGCAGCAAACGTGAAAGGAGGCGGAGGGTACACCGCATCACTCCTTTGTCCTGACGTATAAGTAACAGATACTATTTCGGCAAAAATGCGATCTGTTTCTTCCTGTGCTTCACCGAAATTTCCTCCCTCCCGCGCTGTTACCTCAACCTCACGCTTGAGAGAATTTTCAGAGGCGGATGCATCCCCTATCACGCCCTCTTCTCCTATCACTGGCAAAGCAACAGTTTCATGGTTCTGCTTGCCCCCAGTACGATCAACGGTAACGGTTTTTCCCTTTATAGTGTCCCGATTCATCGACCCCTTTTCGGCACCATCTCGACCAACAGGGGCTCCGCTTGAGGATCCAGCGGACACCTCACTGGTCTCGGAGAATTTTCCTTACGTGTTTCCTTCCTTTGAGTATTTAACGCATTCCCCGCTGGTTTTGCATTGTCAATCACATTTCCCATTGTGCCAATGCGACACTTCGTGTGGCCGGACGAAGGGGGCGTGTTCGGCACCTCTTCTTCTGGAAATCCCTGTGTGTCTTACTAGTGATTGTCTCCTGAAGCTGTGCAGGTGCATCTTGCGACGCACTACGACCAAGAATTTCTTGCGGGGACCTGCTCCCCAATACATTCTTGCTCCCACGGGCTACATCCGTGCAGTTCAATTTATCAGTACCCGAAACCACTTGCAGTTTGGGATAATTACTTCCACCCTGCTTGGAATACTCCATAGATGCTGAAAAACGTCGCTTACCGTGGTTGGACGAGACGCTCCCCGTCGCCAGGCCATCACCCTCGGTGTTGTGCACCACCGATCGGCCCCCTTCCTCCTCTACAATCCCACCCTCCGAGTCGTCTTCGACGTTCTCGCGTGATGATTGTTTTCTCTTTACCCCAGCNAAACCACTTGCAGTTTGGGATAATTACTTCCACCCTGCTTGGAATACTCCATAGATGCTGAAAAACGTCGCTTACCGTGGTTGGACGAGACGCTCCCCGTCGCCAGGCCATCACCCTCGGTGTTGTGCACCACCGATCGGCCCCCTTCCTCCTCTACAATCCCACCCTCCGAGTCGTCTTCGACGTTCTCGCGTGATGATTGTTTTCTCTTTACCCCAGCCCCCCGAGTCTGTTTTGATCCCGGTCCTTGGCTCTGCTTTCTTCCCTTCTGCCCGAGATATTTCTTTTCGTCATCACAATACCCGGGACCTCGTTCACCCTGCACCATTACTCCTCGACATTTCTTTTTAATCTCGCAATACTTTTCACCCCTTTCAACCTTCACCTCCACCCCTCGATATTTGTTTTTAATCTCGTAATACTTTTCACCCCTTCCGCCCTTCACCCACCCCTCGAGATTTCTCTTTAACCTCGTTGGTTCCTTTCTTCCACCTCCCCCCATGTTGGACACCAGACTTTGGAGAGCCTCCACATTACCCCCAAAATGCGCATGTAACAAGTCAAGGATCGCAATTAATGTGTCTCTCACCTTCCCCCCATCTGATGGCTGCCCACCAAGGGACTCTCCCTCCCTTCCACCACCCTCGTCCGAGGCACTGCCCCCTCCACCATCCTCCTCCCCCTGCGCATCGACCCCCCTCTTGCGATTGTCTTCATCCTTCACGGGCCCTTGGTCTCCCCCATCACCTGACGTACGAGAAATAAAATGACCCGCGTCAGGTGTCTGTGGCCTTCTGTTTCTGCGCATTTCGCTTGTTCGACGAGAGTAGTAGTCCTCCCCACCCCTCTTACTTCGTGGCGCTAACACCTGAAACGCTTTCATCGCCATTGCCTCCATTGCCATCCTCTGATCTGCGCTGAGGCGCCTTGCCCCTGCCCCCGAGCCTCTCGTCAGACTCCTTCCCCGACTCGCAGACACATGACTCTCCCACATCTCTGTGCCCCAATCTCCCGTGATCTGCGTCAACCCTTTTGCTAGACTTGAAGACACACCTTTTTCCAAATTGTTTGTGGTACTTTGGATATGTGTCCGATCTACATGCGCTGTATGCGCCTGATGGGGGTTACGTGGATGGGTATGAAGTATATGGGGGGTAGGAGAAGACCCCCGGTGCTAGAGTGAGAAAGAACCCACGAGCTCACTTACCTGAGGGGCTTGCGTGACCAGAAATATGTATGGTCCTTTTCTTCATCTGCTGTTCCTGGGATAACATAGTACCCAGTCTCAACACCACAGACCGCTGAGGGCGGTAGTGCACACAATAGCGATATCGTCTTAGAGCCTAGCTAGGCCAGGTGTTGGTTCGACGATGACGGAAAGAGAAAGAGAGTTGTTAGAAGAACGAGCGAGGAATGCCGAGAGAGCAGCCGAGGAAGCGGCAGCCAAGATGGCGGAAATGCAGAGGAGAATAGATGAAGCGGCAGAGAGGAGTTCAGCGGAGGAAGCAGCGATAGGAAGAGTGGGTGATGCCGGGCATACGGCAGGTAACATGAGGATGGACGGCGCCGGTTATGCGCCTGGGTATTATAGCAGGGATGGAGCCGCCGGAGGGGCGGCTACTTTTGGAGCTAGAGCCGCCGGAGGAGCGGCTACATTTTTCCCGGGTGATCGAGTGCAGCGTAAGGACCGGAAGCCACCGGTGTACGACGGTAACTTCCCGCTGTTCAAGACGCTGTTCGAGGCCTTCCTCACCCGCGAAGATCTTGGGCACACACTTGCGAAGTCAGCAAGTCCTGATCAACGCATCTGGCTCATCCACGCGTCAAGGAGCGAAAACTTCCGCTTTCACGGTGAGCAGCGCGTGCGTGACCATGAGTGTGCTTGGGAGTACCTGATGCGCGCCACAAAGGGGGCAAACTTTCAGGCCAAAAGACTGGAAGTTGGGACTGTGTATGGGGCGTGGGAGGCTGCCCAACAGTTCTGCCTCCCGATGAGTGTCAACGAGAAGGAGGCCATGAAGCTGTCCCTTACCAACATGAGGATGCAGCTCGGAGAGGAACCTAGGGATCACTTCCTTAGGTTTGACAAAGTGCTGTCCACAATCCGCGCCGTCGACGGCGATGGAATCTCCAATAGAGAGGTCCTTGCGATGCTCCGTAGAAGCCATTCGGCCGATTACGACCAGCTCAAGCCGGTGCTCATGTCTGATCGGTCGCTCACACGCGCGGAATTGGAGAATCTTATGCGTAGTCACCACGTTGAGCAAGACTTGGGGAATAGTTCGCGACGGGCGGCAGCGCCGACCAGCGACCCGCACGCTCTTCGTTTCGGCGGGAATTCGCGGCCCAACGGCGGCGGCNGCGCGTGCGTGACCATGAGTGTGCTTGGGAGTACCTGATGCGCGCCACAAAGGGGGCAAACTTTCAGGCCAAAAGACTGGAAGTTGGGACTGTGTATGGGGCGTGGGAGGCTGCCCAACAGTTCTGCCTCCCGATGAGTGACAATCTGAAGGAGGCCATGAAGCTGTCCCTTACCAACATGAGGATGCAGTTCAGAGAGGAAGCAAGGGATTACTTTATTAGGTTTGACAAAGTGCTGTCCACAATGGGCGCCCTCGACGGCGATGGAATCTCCGATCAAGAAGTCCTTGCGATACTCCGCAGAAGCCTTTCCGGCCGATTACGACCAGCTCAAGCCGGTGCTCATGTCTGATCGGTCGCTCACACGCGCGGAATTGGAGAATCTTATGCGTAGTCACCACGTTGAGCAAGACTTGGGGAATAGTTCGCGACGGGCGGCAGCGCCGACCAGCGACCCGCACGCTCTTCGTTTCGGCGGGAATTCGCGGCCCAACGGCGGCGGCGGCGGTGGTGGCGGTCCGCCGCGGAGGACCGGAGGTTTTTCCCAAGGTAAACAGCATGGTAAAGATGGACAGCAGCAGCTAGGGTGGGGAGGAGGATCCCAGGGAAAGTACCAGGGGGGATTTCGCCAGCAGCAGCAGCAGCAGCCGTCGAAGCCGTCGTTCCAGAAGCAGGCGCCGCAGCAGCGGTATCAACAGCGACACCCTCAGCATTTTCCCTCCAACTTCCCCAATGCTTTCCCGCAGCAGCAGCAGCAGCAGCAGACCACTCCTCCGATGGCGGTGGGTTTTGTTCCTGGAGGCCCCACGGACCCCGGGCGGAACGCAGCGTGACCGCAGCCGGAGTCCCCTATTCCCCCGGGCACACCGATGTGCGCTGTGCCCATGTGCGGTCGCTGCGGTCATGTCGGACACGTGGCAAACAACTGCCTGGCTCCTCATCGCTTTTACGGTAGGTGTTCTGTTTGTGGGGAATACGGTCACACCCAGCGAAACTGCAAGAGCAACCCGCAACAACGCCCGGTAGTCCACGTGCCTCAGGCGCCCCACATGAACGCCGTCATGCCACAGCCGTACCAGCCCGTCCCGCAGCAGCTCGTCCCGCAACAGCCCCTCCCGCAGCAGCCTTTCCCTCAGTACTCCCATCTCAACAGCGCGCAGAAGGAGTATTCGGCAAGTTTCATGGACGGGTCGATAGCGCAGCATTGGTCCGTGTCGGCACCTCCTGCACAACATCATCTTGCCTTGGCGCAACAGGGTGGTTCCGGCGGAAGTGTACAGCCATGGCAGGGTGGTCCCGGCTATAGTGCAGTGCCCCAGCAGCAGCAGCCGGACCAGCAGCCTAGCTCGAGTGGTGGAGACGGCACGGGGGGCATGTTTTCTGTGGGTGATGGCCATCATCAGCAGCAGCAGCAACAGCCGCAGCAGCAGCAGCAACAGCCGCAGCCGCAGCAGCCGCAGCCGCAGCAGGAGCCGCAGCAGCACTACCGCGCGTGGGGGGATGGCGGAGCGGATGCCGGCGTGGGTACACAGGTCAGTGGCGGTGGGGATGAATTCGTTGATGGAGTAGGGGGGGATGGTCACGCCGGTTCATTCGGCAACACAGCACCGGTAGATTCCCCCCCCGAACACTATGCTCTCAATGTTTTCTGTCAACACCGTCACCCTGTAGCGTACCCACCGGCCCCTGTCCCAACTTAGCTGTCGGCGTCGGGGCGTACCGACTGGTTGGTTGGTGATAGTGCCGTGTCTAATCACAGCACCAACAGCACAGACCTAGTCTACAACATGCGCTCGCCAACGGTAGCTGAACGGTACATCTACGTTGCTACCGGTGACCCTGCGGAAGTCCTTGGGTATGGTTCGCTAGATTTGGTGTTGCGCGGTGACCACGGTGACGTTCGGATCACCCTGCACGACGTTGCTGTTGTCCCCAGCCTTGCGTACCACCTGATGTCATTCAACGTCATGCAAGAGGCCTTCGAGATAACCCTTTTCGACGCCGATTCTCGGATGCTAGACGGTCGTATCAAATTCTTCAAGACGAAGCATGGCAACTACGCACAAGCCACCCGTGTGCCCCCCCTCGTTAGTGCCCGCAATACTCATGATGGAGCCGCTGGCCGCTGGGGTGCCGTCCATTTCGGCGGCGGTCGCGGCGGCGGCGGCAGCGGCAGCAACGGTGACGGTCTCCACGGCCGTGGAGGCGTTGGGGGTGGTGGCAGGGACGGCGATGGCGCCACTGTCGGCGGCGGGGGGCACGGCAGCAGCGGCAGCGGCAGCGGCGTCCTCGGTCGCCGCGTTGGCACCGGGCAGCGAGACATGCGCGGCGGCGACGGTGGAGGCGTCGGCGGCGGCGGGCACGGCAGCAGCGGCAGCGGCAGCGTCGTCCCCGGTCGCCGCGTTGGCACCGGGCAGCGAGACACGCGCAGCGGCGACGGTGGAGGCGTCGACGGCGGGGGGCATGGCAGCAGCGGCAGCGGCAGCGGCGTCCCCGGTCGCCGCGTTGGCACCGGGCAGCGAGACACGCGCGGCGGCGACGGTGGAGGCGTCGACGGCGGGGGGCACGGCAGCAGCGGCAGCGGCAGCGTCGTCCCTGGTCGCCGGGTTGGCACCGGGCAGCGAGACACGCGCAGCGGAGATGGTGGAGGCGTCGGCGGCGGGGGTCATGGCAGCAGCGGCAGCGGCAGCGTCGTCCCTGGTCGCCGCGTTGGCACCGGGCAGCGAGACACGCGCAGCGGAGGTGGTGGAGGCGTCGGCGGCGGGGGGCACGGAAGCAGCGGGAGCATCAGCGTCGTTCCCGGTCGCCGCGTTGACGCCGGGCTTTCCGACGGACGCAGCGGGGATGGAAGCAATGGCGTCGGCGTCGGCGGCGTCGGCCGGGGGACGACCGGTAGCGGGGGCAGCAGCAGCGGCGTCCCCGGTCGCCGCGTTGACGTCGGGCATTCGGACGGCCGCAGCGGCGTTGGCAACGGCGGAGGCGGCGGCGTTGGCCGTGATAGAGGAGATGGCGACGCCCGTGGGGTGCACACTTGGGTCCGCAACCGCGACGCGCCCGACAGCAGCTTCGTCATCGACCCCGACCCCGACCCCGACCGGAGTGGCCCCGACCCGCGTCAGCCTCCGCGCGCGCCGCATTTGCAGACCCAGCAGCAACGTTATCAGGTTACCCCCTCCGTCACGAGGTCAGCGGCGCGGGGCATGGCTAACAATGGGCCCCTGCCGCGATCGCCCGGGGTGTTGGCAATGCTTGCGATGGCGGAGGACTTCGACGCTAGGATGGACGATGAGCAGTGTTTCGAGGGCCGCAGCTGCCGGATGGACCAGCGAGCGAGCGCCAGACCCCGACATCATGGGCGGAGGCGCACTCGGGAGAGGACAGCGACATCTGGTACAGCGCTGAGGAGGCGGAGTTAACCGGGCTGCTCGAGGCCGAGACGTTTGGGCCGGCGGCAGGCTCGTAGCAGCTAGGGATGAACATCATTTCTGCGAAGTGGGTGTACACTTGGAAAGTGAACGAGTTTGGTGATGTGGTGCGTGCCGAAGCCAGACTGGTAGCAAGGGGTTTCAGTCAGAGGGAAGGGGTGGATAACTTTGAAACCTTTTCACCGTGCCTGTCTGTTACGAGTTTCCGTGTTATTGCTGCTATTGCTTGCCATCTTGGTTGGGATTTTGTGCACCTTGATGCTGAGCAGGCGTTCGTTCAATCCAAGCTGGAAGAGGATGTGTATATTCGTTTACCGAAAGACTGTGGCTCTCTCTCGGGTAAACTTGTCAAGCTTGCCCGTAGCCTGTACGGTCTGAAGCAAGCGTCCCGCATGTGGCATTACCATTTGCTCCGAGCAATGAAGCGTCTTGGGTTTGAGCAGTGTGCTGCTGATGCTTGCGTCATGCGTCTGATCGAGACTGGTGTGGTGACAATGGTGTTGTGTATGTCGACGACATTTTCTCGATCGGGACCAAGAGTAGGTGTGACCAGTTTGGCAGAGACTTGAACGCTTTCGTCCCGATCGAGAACCTTGGGGAGCTGAGTTTGTACGCGGGCATTCGGTTTTCTCGTGATCGCGCGGGTGGCACGATTACGGTGTCGCAGGAGACGTTTGCTAGGAACTTGGTAGAGAAGTTCGGTGTCACACGCAACAAGGAGACTCCCATGGCAGTAGGCTTGAAGCTTGAGGATTTTGGCGATGCGGAGCCTGATGTTCTTAAGCCTTTTCGGTCTTTGGTACGACACTTGATGTGGCTGGCGAATCAGACTCGCCCGGACATCCTCAACGCAGTGCGAGCTGTCGCGAGGTATGCCCACGCCCCCAAGATGGTGCATCGGCGTGCAGCTTTGCATGTTTTGATGTATGTCAGGTTCACAGTCGGTCTTGGGATCACGTACCAACAGGGAACGGAGGGAGGTGTCTCGTTGGAACTTTTCGTCGACTCCGATTACGCGAGTAACGCGGCGGACCGGCGGTCGGTCTCTGGTGCGGTCGTGTGTGCGGGTGCGTGTATCTCGTATTTGTCGCGAACGCAGAAGAGTGTTACACTTTCCTCGACCGAAGCTGAGTATGTTGCGATGGGAGACGGTTTCAAGGAAGCGATATCCTTGCGCTACCTCTGGGGTTTCATCTTTCCGGATGAGCGCATCGGGTGCACTAGAATTTACGAGGATAAAATGGGGGCCCTTCATTTGGTCAACAAACCGGTCACCACCCCCAACTCTAAGCACATAGACATCCGACACCATTTCATTCGGGAGCGGGTGGCACGCAAGCAGTTTAAGGTGGTCCACGTTGCATCGGCTTTGCAGCACGCCGACTTTATGACCAAACCACTGCACAGGGCGGCACTCTACGTCCACCGTGATTTCGTGATGAACATCAACAAACATTTCTGTGTTGGTCGTTTGTGATTTTTTGTTGTTGTTATTTGATGTGAGGTCTTTTTTTTTCTTCCTGCGTTGTTTCTGACCTTTCTGCGTGTGCATCTGCAATCATGGGGGGGGATGTCATGTGTGACCATGATTATAGAGTGCATGAGCGGCAATAATATCTTGTTGTTCCCTTGTGTTTTTGGATAGGAGTATGTGCCAGCAGGGGGGCTGTTGACGTATAGTTATGAAGTTGGGATGATAGTTTTTTGGGATGTCACAGCAGGGGGGCTGTTTGCATGCATGTTTGCTTATATTTCCTATTGTTTCTTGGACAATAGCGGTGGTACCGATTTGCGGGTGGGTGCTATTTAGGACATGGTCTTTGGACAATATATTGGAGGAAGGGTTTGACATGTCTCAACGGTTAATGATTGGGGCCAGTTTTCGTTCTGATTGGTCAAGAAGTTGAGTTTTTTGTTTTGTTTGAGGATTTAGTACCGACTTCTCTATAGTTGTTTTTCCAGAAATGTCCATTTTTCGTTCCGACACTTTTCTGATGTAGCACAAGTAGTTGTTGGTTTTTTTTCCGAGGATAATTCATTAATGTCAACGGTTTGAGATTATGTCCAGGATTCCTGGTCAAGGAACACTTGTTTGACGTGGTGGAAGTAGTGGTGAAAACGGAGTTTGAGGAACGCCTATGGCTTAAGATACCTCGGGAGCGGGGTGAGCAAGATTTGATTCTAAGGAACGTAGACTATACGTCCCACCGTCGTCGAGGGCAGTCGCAAGCAAGGCGCTGGACAACTTTGGGCAAATTGGGGGAGATGTCCAGAGGTCCACAAGGAAGGGAGAAGTTGTAATGGTCGGCGGTTTCAACTCCAAAGTAGGGAAAGCCTTCCAGTAGAGGACAGGCGATTGGGCAGCACGAAGAAGACAAAGTGAGTGACAACGGAGCGAGGATGCTTCGATGCCTTGGGAAGCAACGAGCTGATGTTGTTGAACGGTAAGATGGAATGCGATAAGCCGGAATTCACCAGCCAACGGGCAGTGTGCAATGAATACTCGATCCTCGACTACATCCTGGTGGATTGGGGCAGCACGCAAATCCCAGAGCTGCACCAAAGTGCGATGGATATAGGTTCGACCGACGACTTCCTCACATGGGAAAACATCGACCGATCTAAGAAGATGAAGAGTAAGAAACAGGAAAGTGTTCCGGTGGAGAGTAAAGCGTTTGGGAGACGAGCGGACACATCATGAATTCCAGCAGAGACTGGCTGGTAGTGTAGAACCCTTCGGGAAACTGCTGAGAAGCGTCGAAGACGG